GGCTTCCAGGATCTGCTTGACCACGTGGGCCGCGTCCCGCTCGCTGTAGAACCCCCTCTCCACGATCCTGTGGGCACACGGGGTCAGCACAGCAGCACGGACCCCCCTCAGCCCCCATCCCCCCAACCATGGTGTGCATCAGCCCCCTCCATCCTCATCCTCCTCCCCCACTATCAGGGTGGGATTCACCCCCACCTCGTTAGGAGCCGGGATGGGGATCACGGGGCCGGTCGTACCTGTCAAAGAGCTCTCCTCCTGTCACCAGCTCCAGGACAAGCGCGATCTCGGAGGGCGTCTCGAAGATCTCCTTCAGCTTGATCTGAAAGGGGTGAGAGGAGAGATGAAGGATGCGGGTGCTGGCCATGCTGGGAGGAGCGCGCGACCACCAGGGTGTAAGGGGCTTATGGGGCAGCCACCACGTTTGCCTCCTTGCCTTTTTATTTGTTTGAACTTGATTTTTATTTTTTTTTAACTGTTTGTAACAGCCCTGCTCACTTAATTGTGCATTAAAGATGCTGGGAATGGAAGAGACGGGCACATGGCACCTTTATCCTCTTCCCGTCTCCGAGCTCGTTAGCTGGAAGAGGAGCTCACTGAAAGCTTTGTAATTTCGCAGCTTCCTCAGCCATGCTGGCACCTCGGGTGCCTCCGTGGTGTGGGAGCGACCCCTGGCAAAGCCCTGTCCTTGTCCTTCTGGGACGGATCCTGCACATCTGCACTTGCAGGGATGCAGGAGAGATGCATGGAGTCCCGAGGGACCAAAAGCACCTCTGGGCCCCGGGACCCTGCAGGTGCTTTTGGAAATGGCCCTTGGACCATTTTGCAGCAGAAGAGGCACTAAGGAAACTGATTTATTTTTTTTTCTCCTGATTTTTGTTTTTTAGCTCCCACGCAAGGTGAGCTCGTCTGCACGAGACCTTTGTGCCACTGCAGCAAATCTGGAATTAACAGGTCTCTCTTAAAAATATGTCAAAAATGCAATTTTTTTTTTAATGGAAAACAGAGAATTTCATGCTTCTTAAGACTTTTGTGACACTGCGAATTTCATGGGGCTTTAATCATTACCTTCATAGGCTGGGTGACAAGCCGTGATACCCCGCAGGGTGAGAGACACTATGTGGCAGCTTATTGCATTATAATAATACACGGAAGCACTATAATTTTCCTATTAACTTCAAAAGTTTACAATCCTATTATCATCTGCTGTTGAGGTTGGTGCTGAACGATAGCGAGTGCATAGACAGCACCAGTGTAAATAATGAAATGGAGCATCTCTTCTTCAAAAATCACTTGAACTTGGGGAGTAAGCAGAACCCTACAGAAAACTCAGTGATTTAAATATTAAAACTGCCCGTCTGGTTCCTCCTCTGCGTCTCCATGGTGCCACTGCCTGGAGAGCGGAGGAGGAGGGAGGGCAGAAATTGAATTTTCTGTTGTATTTCTGATAACGCATCAGAGGAGCCTCTCCCCATCCGTGGCTCATGTCACCCAAGCAGGTGATCCCCATCCCAGCTGTTGTCCCTGCATCTGCCCAAACGTCCTGGGACGGGGGAAAAACATCTCTGTGGAAAAGGCTGAAGCGCCCGATTGACCCAAAATGCTGAAACACCCCAAAGCAGGCCTGTGCTGAGCTGGCCCAGGGGCTTTGGGACGCCCCTTTGCCCCCATCATCCTCATTTTTGGATTTCCTTCAGCTTCATCTCTTGCATCAAGGGTTGGGACGTCAGCAGGTAGGCAGGACGTCCTTGCTGGGGCTCCTCCAGAGAGCAAAGACCGACTGCTCCGAGGATGGCTGAGTGCTGGGCTGGAAGCAGCCGTGCCCGGGGTTTTCAGCCAGACTGCAAACAAACGGCAGCTTGGGTGGCAGCAGCCAGCGGTGAGGCAACATCCCGGTGACGTCCTGGCTACAAAATCAATTGGAGCAGGGTCCGTCGCAGCCCCACAGAGCCAGTGCTGTGGCAGCAGCAGCTGCCAGGTGTCTTTATATGTTATTTCTTTAAGTCAGGTCGTCTCCAAGATGCTTTTGCAATTTGCTGGTGGAACTAAGCAGCCGGGAATAAGCCTTCTTGGCAGATGGAGGAACGGGGGCCACGGAGCCCCCCACGGCCCCTGCCGCTGCAGAGGGGCCAACACGGTGGGCCCAGCTCTGCTGACACCGGCGGTGATTAGATCCGCTCCCAGGCGTTGCAAATCGTTCCAAAAAACCAAGCGCTGAGCAAGAGAAACAGCGGCCAGCCGCACTGGGACGCAGCGCCCAGCACCCACAGCCCCATCCTCGCCTTTTATCTCCCCTTGCAGGATTCATTACAGATGGGCAATTTTCTGTGGTATTCACTTGATCTCCTCAATGGAAATTGCTTACCAAATGGAAATCTCAGGCCAGGGGATGGGGGGGAGGACAGGGGGGCCCTGGCCCTCGATATCAGAGCTGGGAAGCTCAAATGCGCTGCAAGGACCAGGAGTTTCATGCGGCAGCGAGGGGGGAGTCACGGTGCC